TATACTGGTATCGTTGATATAAAAAAATAGAAAATCAATGACAGATTTAAAAACAATACCTCTTCTCAAAATATCGTGAAAACATCTCAATACCTCCTCAACTACTCCAAAACCCAAAAACAAAATACCAAGTTTCATTAAACCCAGAAATCTCCACTACAGAAATTGATGACATTTTTGAACACGATCCTGAAATATTACTGGAGTTTTTTCCCAACACCAAACCGTTATTTTTAACACTTCGACACGTGTTTCGATCACCATGTGATCAACAAGAGGAAGATCAAACAGTTTGATCTTTCAGTAATATTCATTACTACACCAAAGGTTCCAAACAGTGCATCACAAGTACGATCCTGATAATTACGCCTTCGAAAGTAAATTCGATTACTACCAATATTTAAAAGACGAAATTCCAAACAACATCATAAACATAGAGCCTCAAACTGAAAGAATTTTTCCAAATTAAAATGTAACCTTTCGAACACTGAAGCTATACTGGTAGCTCAAAACGAAGAAAACGTTTGTTTACCAAATGTCCTAGTAAGAGTAGATGAGCAAAGCGAGTTTTTGATCTCAATCATAAATTCGAACACTATACCCAAAACAATGAAATTTTCTGACATAAACCTCGAACCTATCCAAAATTTGTCTTCAAACCACTTGAATGAAATAGAAATAAAACAAAATCAAATTGATGGAGAGTTTGAAATAAAAAACCAATCACGTTTAGATCATTCAAATGAGGAAGAATCTGAAATAATAACAGAAACATGTTTACAATTTTCGGAAATTTTCTATCTAGAAGGTGATCGATTAACGTTCACAAACGAAATCAAACACTCAATAAATACAAAAAACGCAAAACCGGTTTTTACAAAATCATACCGCTACCTCCAAATTTATAAGGAGGAAGTCAAAAGACAAATAAACAAAATGTTAGAAGATGGAATTATACGCCCTTCTATTTCTCCCTGGTCATCCCCACTGTAGGTTGTTCCAAAAAAATAGACGCACCTGGAAAACAGAAATGGCGAGTAGTTGTTGACTACCGAAAGTTAAATGAACTTACTGTAGACGACAAATACCCTCTTCCAATGATATCAGACCTTCTCGATCAACTTGGCAAATGTCAATACTTCACTGCCCTTGACCTTGCTTCTGTTTTCCATCCAATCGAAATCGATTACCACATATCCAGATTAAAAGAAGTATTTGAAAAACTTCGTCAAGCTAATCTTTAAAATCGAACCAGATAAGTGTGAATTCGCCGGAAAAAAACCAAATAACCAAAAATGGAGTAATGCCAAACCCCAACAAAGTCAATCGTATAAATTCCAAAGCCTAAGAACCAGAAAGAAATACAATCCTTTCTTGGCTCAGCATGATATTACAGAAGATTCATTCCAAATTTTACAAAAATATCAAAACTTTTCACATTTCTTCAAAAAGACACCCCTCTTTCATTTTCGGAATGTAAAAAAACATTCGAAGAATTAAAAGAAATCCTCGTTTCGACCCCAGTACTGATAGACCCAAATTTCTGGAAACACTTTTCTACCAACAACAGAAGCTAGTGCATATGCGCTAGCATCTGCTATTGAAAGAAATTTCAGATGACATTCCTGAAACTTCTGAAAACCTCGATTACCCTGAAAATAGATATTTTGCAGCGCATATGCACTAGTATCTGTTGTTGAAAAAAACTTCAGATAACCCTGAAATTCCTGAAATCTCTGAAAACTATAAACTGGAATATCCAGCTGCACACATTACACATGAATATTCAACTTTCGTAAACATATACAAAACCAAATCTTTAATTGACTATTCAAATTGGCAATTACTTGACAAGGAAAATTAAAACATCTTAATATTTCCCCGACGAAAAGAACCGATAGATTTTCATATAAAATTTTTGATGACATTCCTGAACAATAAATATTACTTTATTTATTGGGAGTTGACAAATGATATAGTATCAAGCAAAACTGTCAAAAATCTCACTTATGACCCAGAGTCGGTGATAAACCCTGTATAGAAGTCAAAACGATTTAGAATCCTCAATATTGTATTGTGTAGAAATCAATCATTTTGGAAATATTGTGTTTCATCTTATCTGAAAAAGACATGAAATGCAAAAATTTTAATTTCATAAACTATAACTCACGATTTGATTTCCACAAACTTTATTTGAAAAATATATCACGACATGTTTCGCTAACACAGTAGCTTTATCAACAGTGATATTAATACTACAAGTTGCTTCTTATACTAATATTTATATACTACAGGTATCCATAATTGAGACTACTTCCAACAAATTACCTAAACCTCTACCTGAGCTACCTCATCAATTATGATCACCTGAAATATTATCTCACTTCTACATCAATAATAATTCTTTCTCGGTTTTTCAATAATGGTGATCTATTCAAATCCAGTTGGTCATTCATTAGAATGTTTGAATTTTTAAGTTTATTTATTTCCATTGCTTTCAAATAATTCAGTTTCCAATCTTTATTTTCTATGTGTAAAATCTCGAACTCTACGTTAAAGATATGATTTTCTTCTAAAAGATGATTTGAATATATTGAACTTGTTTTCTTATTTACATAGCTCATATGATCGTCCTGAATTCGATGAATAAAAGTTCTACCAGTTTGACCAACATATACCTTTGGATACGTTCCACACTTTAATTTATATACTCCTGATTTCTCGAATTTGGATGTTTTATCTTTATTATTTTTAACTAACTTTGCAAAGCTATTACTTGTTCTATATGCAATTTTAATATCTAGCTTCCTCTTCAGGTGATCATAATTGACGAGGTAAAGGTTTAGGTAGTTTGCTAGAGGTAGTCTCAATTATGGTTACCTGTAGTATATAAATATTAGTATCAGAAGCAACTTGTAGTATTCAAATGTCGTGATATATTTTTCAAATAAAGTTTTTGGAGATCAAATGCTGAGTTTTAGTTCATGAAATTACTATGGATCTTCATCAAGTAACGGCCGAATCAATCAGAAAAAAAAGCAAAAATATTATTGCCACACTCAACAAAGATTAGATCTCAATAATAATAGATCAAAACCATAACGGAAAGAGTAATCCACATCGAGGAATTAATGAAACAATTTGGTTTCTGCAAACCAAAAGTTTGCAGAAAAAATCTAAGCAGTCCTTCAGTCATTACTGAAACTCCAAAAACTGCCTTCGAAAGAATGCAAATTGCATAAAGTCATAAAACAGAGTTGATATGGTCATGCTTTGAAATGTTACAAACATTTATTATTTCTGATTCGACGACATTAAATATGGAAATTTGAACGACCTTGTCGGTTTACAAATTTTAATGAAACATTTTTTGATGGCGGTTACAGGCTTACCGGTACTTACGTAAACAGCAAAATTACACACCTCATAAGTATCACGCTGCAGCACTGATTGGATGTTTATGCTCAGAAGAGATATCAAAATGAATGAGCTTATAGTCGAAACTGTTCATCAGAGTGATTATTTTTTTTGTAATTGTTATACACACAAATCAACATATGTAAGCAATAAGATGGATGCAATTCGAATCACAAACGCGAAATCAATATATTAATTATAATAAGAGCTACTACTCGTAGACTTGAAGACCCCAATATCTCTTTAGGCGTTTATACCACAGTAATATTAATTATAATGAGAGTTGTACCAACTAGACTTGAAGACCCTGAAATTTTTTGGGCGTTTATACCACAGATACCCTCCTCGATAACAGCAAGGCCATGGGCTTTTGACTTTGGATTGTTTTTGTAATAGAATGGTACTGGATGAAGGTTGTATAATAATCAAGAGTTTGGAATTCCTTCTCTGTAAAGTTCGTGACCATAAAAGTGCAAGAATTGAAAAAAAACTCTGGTCATCTACTTCTCCATCTGCATACGAAAAATGTGCCAAACTTCCGAAGAAAAAAAAGCAATTTATTTCAAATAAACTAGTTCCATATGAACTACATGAATGAAAAATACTGTGAAACAACTACTTTCATATGAGCATCGAATTATATGAAAATCACTCTTTTCCTTTCAGTTTGTACTTCAAACATTCGGTATGGAAATGAATCAGATATTATTCATAAGACTGTTGAAAAAAATGGAATTGGGTAGCTACCCAAGCAGTTGATGGACTTGTATAAATCTTCAATACTGAATGTAGTGACCAAAACTCCGTCACTGAGTTGGACCCATTCAGTAAAACGGCCCACATAATAGATGCTGAGACAACTTTACTCCTGCGGTTACAATTATGTAGCCGCAAGAGTACCTACCCTATTCTTAACTAAGGGTGCTAAGTGTACTAAGGGTACTGTAGTCGTGTTATGGGTATAGGCTGACATAAGATGTAGGACCTGCCGCGAGTCACTTGTGAGTAACATGCTTCCGCTGCCAGAATGTCCAGTATGTTTCAGAATATATCTATCGGCATACTGTGGTCCAACGAATTCATCATACCTATTCATTTCTTACATTTGAGCTAAAAAGTCGGATATTCTCCTCTATTATCCACGTAGGATGATATTCGTTACGGTATTTTCAGCTCTTTTTGATGAATATTATTCAAATCAAGAAAAAAAATTCTTTGAACTCCGCAGACTATATCTGTTAAACTGATTGATTCGATTGTTCTCTACCTGAATGAAGGAGTCTGTCATTCTTGGCTCATCATATCCAATCAGGGAACATGCTTTTTGGTCCCATAATCACTCACCTCACGATTATTGATGCCGGCAAACCCTGCGAATGTTTTGTGGCTTCGGGAAAAGAACTTTTTTACCATTTGGGTAAAATAATAAATTAATTTTTTCTATAAGCACAAACAAACTAATATAAAAAATTAAGGTAATGAGTATATTATTTATTATAATTTTGCTTGTATATAATTGCATATGATTAATTATCAATATATATCTCAGAAACGAACGGAATACATATAAGTTGTGAACTCACCAAATAAATCACTGTCTTTTTGTTGTAAAGTTATATCGATCATACTTTGCCCACAAGTTGATTCGCAGCTAGACTCCGACTTTTCTATTAGTTTTTTCAGTTTACCGTCCCGACCTCTTCGCATATCTTCCAATATACAATTCAACAAAAGAACAGATGTCACTAGGGACTGATCAGTTGATATTCTTGCTTTCAAGGAGAGTCCATCTAAGGAGAACCGGGCCAACTGATTGTCAGGATCATGGTTATCAGATCCATCAATGAGCTGAAAAATAAATCACAAAACTAGGGAGTTATCGAGTAACATAGTCAAGGAATAAGTTGAAGCTTCCAAACTTGTAACTAGTCTGGTTGCTCAACCGAGATTTTTTTTGTTACTCCTTTTTTCCTGAGAGCAATACAAGGTTAATTCAGTTAATTGTTAAAGGAAATAAATTTGAAAATTGATATTCGGGATTTCAATGAGAAAGCCGTCAGCTTTCAAAGAATGGAAAAGCGCTGAAGGTAAATAACTGATGAACCATAACCAGGAAATGTCACCCATTTTACTATCAAAGCGCTAAATATATGTTTGCTCTTAATCAAGCCCGAAAATCATTCAATTTTCAAGATTCCTATGATGAAAGTCCATATTAACTTACAAATGTTTTGTGATATCCACTATAGAAGGTTTACAAAACCGCGGCACGTCTTCCTCAAGCAGTCCTCCTTCATTTAGATAGTATAGTATCACGTATAGTGATTTTGTAAATCTATTGTAATGAAAATCATAAACTAAACTATTCCCAAGTACTCAACACACATTAGACAAAAATCTTCAAAATCAATATCGAGGTCAACGTATTATGCTTTCACTTTCAAATTCATTGTTATCTGTAGCTTGAGAGCCAAAAATAACTATATCTTGGAGAAATTTGTGCATAGACAACTGATATACGTATACACTGGCTCTCTAAAAAATAACTTTTGGATGTATTAGTTATTCCATGAAAAGTTTTATGCATTTTTGTAAACGAATATTGCAATATTTTTGTTATATCTTCGGTAATAGTAGATGATCGTTGATGAATTTTTCACTGTAATGTAGCACATTATTCATAGATGACAATTACAAAATCAAATCAATTTGCAGTGGCGTCGGAGAAGGTGTAAAAAATAAAAATTTAATTTTGTTTACATATTTTTGCTTATATCTCAGTTAATAGTGGATGATTGTTGATGGATTTTTCACTGTAATGTAGCACATTATAAATAGATATCACGTACGTGATCAAATCAATTTGCAGTGCCGTCGGAGAGGGTGTAAAAAATTAAAACTTACATTTTTTGACACATTTTTGCTTATATCTCCGTTACTAGTGGATGATCATTGATGAATTTTTCAGTGCAATTTAGCACATTATTCATAGATATCACGTACACAACCAAATCAATTTGCAGTGCCGTCGGAGAGGGTGTAAAAAATAAAAACTTACATTTTTTGACATATTTTTACTCATATCTCCGTTAATAGTTGATGATCATTAATGAATTTCTCACTGTCATGTAGCACATCATTCATATATATCATGTACAAGATCAAACCAATTTGCAGTGCCGTTGGGGAGGTTGTAAAAAATAAAAATAAATTTTTTTGACATGCTTACGTCTCAGTGGATTATCGTTGATAAATTTTCACTAGCAATTTTCTAACCATTTACCAACCAGTAACCTATGTTAACTGAAGTCATACTCAACTATTGCAACTAGGGGTTAAAATATTAACTTGTTGCAAATTCATTACTTGAATACAGTTTCGGATAGGTCAGGTTATACATTGGATTTTGTTTCATCAACCCACATCTATTGTACCGTGTTGAATGTGTATACGCGAAAGGATTACTGTCTTTAGGCAGCTGCCTTCAATTCTCAATAATAAATGTGAATTTTACAATTCACTGTTGTAACTGTATTTATTCATAATTGTAAATTCACACTCATAAGTGTGAATCCACAGTTATGAGTGTTAAAAAATTTTATAATTTAGTTATAAATGTTAGAAAAAATGCATAATGACTAATAAATTCAAAAAGTAATGTTTAATGACACAGTTGAGATGATCATGTATCAGAAAATATGTCCATGTTCAGTTTTATGCGAGATCAGAATCTAGTACAGAAATGTTGAATCATATTCAGAATCTATAATGAAATATCCAAATATCCATACACTATAGTAACGTGGTTGTTTCTCAAACCACTAGAAAATATTCGATCCTTGGAGTTTTTCTCGGTTTGGTACAACACATGAAAATATATAAATATGGTTATTTTTACAAAATAAATGGTTATTCATCTTGAAACGACAATGACATGATTTCTTACTGTAATCAATACAGTGCAGGGGTTATTTAAATACGGGAATCAAACAGGCTCTGCCCTGTAGTGGAAATGGTTTCATGTGAACAAGATGGTGGCAGCATAGGTGCATAGCTTTTGAAGTTCAGGTCGTTTTATGTAATTCACAATAAATGGCAAGCATTTAAAAAAGTTGTAACTGATTTCAGTTTTGCTCTTTTAAATGCTGCTTGTATTTCTTTCAATAACCTTGATTTAAAGGAATACATAAATATGACTTTTCATTGGGTAAATGATAAGATTGCGTTTCCGTCTAATAAAATTCAGTTACATATATGCTGTTTCCATATGTTCAAATTGATGGCTCGTGATGTTGATATCCATTATAAAGATAATATAGTACGAAAGCATATGAAAGAAATCGTAGCTTCTGCATATAACATCAATGATTCGGAAATTTTTTGTGCTTGGTTCAAAAACTTCTATATCTTAACCCATTGTAATACAAAAAGTTCTATATTAAAAAATGCCTTCCAAAATTTATTAAAAATATCTTGTTCGAATGCTCTGAGTGATAGTAACGTTAAACTTGTCGATTATTCAATTGATGATGAAATAAAACGTTTCGAAGACATTCTGTTTTGCCAATATTTGAAACAACTTGTAGTCAAAATCTCTTTTAATGATAATTTAGATAATGCCACTTGTATGAGCAATTTAAAATTTTTTGATCATTTTTTCAGAGCTTACATTCAGTTTACCCCTCTTTGGAGTGGTATTCTGTTAAACAATAAAGAAAGGCTAAGTAATGCTGCAGTTGAAAGATGGTTCGGTATTGTGAAAAATACTCTTGCTAAGGAGGTTATGAGGCAAAAATGTAGTAGAATAATCAGAAAAATTAAAAAATATGTATTGTTTACTTTTCAAAGAATGTCATTTTCGTATTCCCAAAACAAAATTTCGCAGAACTCAAATTGAAGACTTCAATAAAGGACTTGCTTCCCAAGAATTCTGGCAAAAAAAAGAAAAGTTGCTTCAAAATAACTTTTTAGGAACATCACTCAAACAGGCACTTAAAAATTCTCAATCACAATAGTCACGAAATTTCAATCCAGATTTATGCATGTATTGTAAAAGGGGACAGTTGGAATTCCAGGCTGATTGGGTGCAATGCGACAAATGTAATGATTGGGTGCATATAGTATGTATCGAAGACTTTCAGACATCTTTGAATGATTTTTTTTGTAAATTTTGTACCAAAATTCAAGTAGACACGCCTTCAAAAATATTTTGATGAAAATTGTAGAAAATATTTTCAAGAATTAATCAAAATAGAGAAAAGTACCAGAGATCAGAGACTTTTTAAATTGTGATATTCGAGTTACTGCATCTAATTTTGGAAATATTTGTCTAAGTAAAAGTGATGATAGCTTGATAAATATATTTAAGCGCATTTCGAATCCAATAAATATTGAATCTCATGTAGCAATCAGTCATGGCATTAAATTTGAGAAGAAAGCAATTAGTGAATATGAAACAGCTGAAAATATACATCAAATAAACAAACTCTTCAAATGTGAAACTCACCAAAATTTCAAATTATTTCATATGAACATTCGAAGCTTGAACAAAAATATAGATGAATTGAAGTTGCTTTTATATCAGTGTGATGAGGATTTCGATTTTATCATTCTCTCAGAAACATGGCAAATTGAATATGTTACATTCTATAATATAGACAACTATCATATTATATACAACGAAGCCCAATATACCTAACCAAAATGATGGAGTTGTTATATATGTTCGAAAAAACATTGATTTTATATCCAGAACGATTGAATTGGGGGAAATAACGAGAATTGAAATAATATCGAAATCAAACAACAAACAATTATCAATTCTAGCTCTATACAGACCACCTTCAACAAATATACAATCTTTCATTGAAAAACTGGGAGAGTACCTCAAATATTGTCCAAAAGCTGATACACAAATCGTAACTGGGGACATGAATCTAAATATCTTAGGTGATGATAAGAATGATTATCTCAATATTTTGAGTGAGTACGATTATGCTTCCGTAATAAATGTAGCCACAAGAATACAAGGAGATTCAAAGACCTGCATAGATCATATGTTCATTAAGTATGACAGAAACGTCATTGATATATTACCAATAAAGATATCATTGAAAAAATACCATAATACATTTATGAAAATAAATTAGTTGATATTATAAAAAGAGAACATTTCTCAGAAGTGTATATATGCAGTGACATCAATACTGCCACCATCATATTCATAGACACAATAAAAAAACATATAGAAGAAAGTATAACGAATAT